CACCAGGGAGGGAGGAACCAGGAACAGGGGGGGAGTAACCGGGGGACCACGGTGGGGAAAGCGGCAGAAGAAGGAGACGGACTCGTCAAAGGTGACGTCGCGAGAGTGAAAGAAACGGTGAGACGGCGGGTGGTAGAAGTGCCAGTCGGACGCGTCAAGGGGGAAACCGAGGAAGACGCAGGGGAGGGTGCGGGCAGTGAGCTTGTCCGTGCCAGAGGCACGAACGTGAGCAAGGCAGCCCCAGACGTGGAACGCAGACGCGTCACCAGGGGACCCGGTCCACAGAAGGGTCGGCGAAACCTGCGGCCGCTGGGGGTGCGGCCACATGTTAAGCTGGTGAGCGGCGTAGCGCACGGCGAACGGCCACAGAAAATGGGGTGCACCGGCGTGGATCATGGAGGTGCGAGCCACCTCCATGACCAAACCGATGCGTCGCTCAGCGACCCCATTCTGCTGCGGGGAGTCCGGCAGGGTAAACGTCTGGGTGATGCCCTCCGCACGACAGAAGCGACCAAGGACACCTGAGGCGAACTCGCCACCCCGGTCGGAGTGGAGGCGCAAGGCAGGGAGACCGCGGTGGAGACGAGCAGAGACAAGCCAGGGGATGAGAACGTCAGGCACGTCGGCCTTCCGCTCCAGGGGAAAGACGGTGGTGTAACGTGTGAAGTCGTCGACAAGCACTAGGAAGAAGCGCTCGCGACGCGGCCCATGGACCGGGGCTGGGCCCCAGACGTCCATGTGCAGAGTCTGCAGGGGTGCGGTGGTAGGGGGAAAAGAGGAGGAGTGAGGGGCACGGCGGAGCCGGCCCTCGACACAAGGCGTGCACGGTGGGGCGGGGGATGAGGGAAACTCAGGGAACGAACCGGGGAGACCAAGGACGAGACCGTGCTGGGACATGTGACGCAGACGCGGGAGTGCAGGGTGACCAAGGCGGTGGTGCCAAAGGAGAGTCGGATGAGTGAGGGACCGACAGGAGCACGCAGCAGCAACCTGGGTGGACGCAGCTACCTGGGGGGAAGACCCAGCCGGGGACGTCGCGGTGTCAAGTGTGAACAGGCCGGACACCGGGTCCCGGGGGAAAGTGGTAAGGGGGGCACCAGTGGCGGCCTCGGTACAGACAGCATACCGCTCGTGACCAGGGAACGTAGTGGTGACGCCAAGGTCCTGGAGGCAGCCGACACCAACTAGGTTCCTGGAGAACGAGGGGATATGCAGACCGGTGAGCGAACCTGAAGGAACCGCCGGACAGGGAAGGGAGGTGGAACTGCGGGCAAAGACGGGACCACCGGAGGGGTCAGCAAGAGTAACTGCAGCAGGAACAGGCAGCGGCGTCAGCGTCGTGGAGTCGCGGAAGAAACACCGGGAGGCGCCAGAGTCCAAGGTGAAGGAAAGCGCAGCAGTCGCGCGGGGCGACAGTGAAGCGGTGGAAGCACCGAGGCTAAGCAAAGCAGGAGATCCTACGCCTGACGCAGCAGGGGAGTCTACGCTAGGCACAGCTACACTAGGCAACACGGGGTAATAAGAGGGAAGCACACTAGAGTCATCGGCATACATCACATGCAAGGCTGCTACAATGGCATCCATGTCCAAGTCAAAAATCCGAATGCTACGCCTAAGCAAGCTGTGCCAGTCCGGGAGGTCGGGCGCCGGGCCAAAGCGCTGGCGGAACAGGTCGTCCAGACGACGAAAACAGCGAGGAGTGGAATGACCGATCTTACCGCAAACGAAGCCGCGGCGAGGACCGGTCTGGATCTGGTACTGACAGGGCCCGCCTCCAGAACCACCACCCGGTGCACCACCACGCGCACGACCACCACCAGCTCCAGGCCACCCAGGCGGGAGAGCACTCGCCGGCCTCGTCTGCGGCGGCTGCTGCGGCTGCTGCGGAGGCTGCTGCTGCTGCGGCTGCTGCAACGGTGGAGGCAGCGGGGCAGCTGGACCGGGCAGGGTCCCCACGTCCGCACCGGCACCGGACGACCCGCCTCCACCACTACCCCCACCCGCACCCCCGCTACCTCCGCCGCTCCCAACCTTGGGGCGGCGGCCCTTCCCCGAGCGGGACTGCACTGCAGCAGCAGTCTCAGCCACAGCGACAGAGCCGTCGGAGAAGGTACACTGAGCGGGGGCACAACCCTGAAAGATAGGGACCGGTACTGTACCGCTCGCCTGGGCTATGGAGCGGTGACGAGTCTCTATGGCAGTCAGGGTGTCAACAAAGTCGGTGAGGGTGAGAGCAGCAGGGTGGATGCTAAGGAACTGGTCGCGGGCGGCGGCAAGGCGGTCAGGGAGGCGGGTGGCAAGGAGGTAGAGGGTAGAGGTCATGGGAGGCTGGTGGACTCTAAGCTGTGCATCAGTGCAGGCAGCGCGCCAGGCCTCATCTATCGAGCGCAGGTGGGCAGCGAGGTCAGAGACAGTGGGGAAGGACGCCAGGTCAGGAAAGAGCAGGGGGAGGATCAGGCGACCCACTGAGGCAGCAGGAGGGGTAGAATAGCGCTTGATGACAGCATCGAGGTAGGCCTGGGCGGTAGTAATGGTTCTAAAGCGAGGGCGCGCAAGGGGGGGGAGGGCATTGCTAATGGCGAGCTGAGCAAGGGCATCGCGGGAAAGCCAGACAGAGCGGGCAAGGGCAGCGGCGGCAGTGGACTCGCGCTCAGCGGGCGTGGGATCAGCAGGCAGCACAGCAGGGGGGTCAGGGCAGGGGAGCATACCGGCTAGGTGTGCAGAAAGCGGGTGGCCGTCCTGCCGCTGACCAGTGAGGTGGCGGCGAAGGTCAGCCAACCACGCCTCGAACTCCAGTGGCTGACCCTCAGCATCAAAACGAAGCTCAGCAGCCATGAGGGGCAGTGGAGGACAGTGGAGTGCGGTGTAGTGCTGTGCAGTGCGGTGCAGGGCGGTGCAGTGCGGTCCAGTGCGGTGCAGTGCGATGCAGTGCGGTGCAGGGCGGTTCAGTGCGGTGCAGTGCGGTCAGTGCGGTTCAGTGAGGTGCAATGCGGTGCAAGGCGGGGCAGGAAAGTGCAGGAGGGTGCAAAGTGGTGCGGGGAACGGGGGACAGTACCAGGAAGTATGGAGGGCCGGGGCAGGCGCGACGGGGCCGGGCAGGCGCGACGGGGCCGGGCAGGCACGTCGAGGCCGGGCAGGCGCGACGGGGCCGGGCAGGCGCGACGGGGCCGGGCGGCTGCGACGGGGCCGGGCGGCAGCGACAAGGCCGGGCGGCAGCTACGAGGCCGGGCGGCTGCGACGGGGCCGGGCGGCTGCGACGGGGCCGGGGGGCTGCGACGGGGCCGGGCGGCTGCGACGGGGCCGGGCGGCAGCTACGAGGCCGGGCGGCAGCGACAGGGCCGGGCGGCAGCGACGGGGCCGGGCAGGACACAGCAGGGCCGGGCGGGGGCGACGGGGCCGGGCGGGCGCGACGGGGCCGGGCAGGTGCGACAATGGCCGGGCAGCTGCGACAGGGGCAGGGCGGGCGCCACGGGGCCGAGAGGCCGCGACAGGGCCGAGCTGGGGCGACGGGGCCGAGCAGGGGCGACGGGGCCGAGCAGGGGCGACGGGGCCCAGGAGGGTGGATACGGGGCCCAGGGAGGAGCGCGGCAGGGCCCAGGAGGGGCGCAACAGGCCCAGGAGGGGCGCTACGGGCCCAGGAGGGGCGCAATGGGGGCCCAGGAGGGGCGCGGCGGGGCCCAGGAGGGGCGCAATGGGGGGGGGCCCAGGAGGGGCGCTACGGGCCCAGGAGGGGCACTACGGGCCTAGGAGGGGCGCGACGGGGCCTGGGAGGGGCACGACGGGGCCCAGGAGGGGCGCTACAGGGCCCAGGGAGGGCGCGACGGGTCCCAGTAGGGGCGCTACGGAGCCCAGGAGGGGCGCGACGGGGCCTGGGAGGGGCGTTACGAAGCCCAGGAGGGGCGCTACGAAGCCCAGGAGGGGCGCGACGAGGCCCAGGAGGGGCGCTACGGGGCGCTACGGGGCCTGTGAGGAGCGCGACGGGGCCCAGGAGGGGCGCTAAGGGGCGCGACGGGGCCCTGGAGGGGCGCTACGGGGCCCAGGAGGGGCGCGAAGGGGCGCGACGGGGCCCTGGAGGGGCGCTACGGGGCCCAGGAGGGGCGCTAGGGGGCGCGACGAGGCCCTGGAGGGGCGCTACAGAGCCCTGGAGGGGCGCGACGGGGGCCTGGAGGGGCGTTACGAAGCCCTGGAAGGGGGGCGCGACGGGGCCTGGAGGGGCGCTACGAGGCCCTGGAAGGGGCGCGACGGGGCTAGGGGGAGGGGTCGCGATTGGGCTCAGGAGGGGCGAGGCGAGGCTAGGAGACGCGACGGGAGGAGCGGAAGCGGTAGGTGGGGGGGGGGGGGGGGGGGGGGGGTCGAAACCTACTCGTGATACCATATCAAACCTAGAATTGAATAATGTGAGAGAGAGAGTACACAAACATATACCTAAATGTTGTACTCTCTAGAAGGTGACCCTATACAGTCTATACAAACATGATAACTACACATGTTTGACAGGGAGATCCGTTTGAGTCACTCATGATTAAGTTTGTGACCAGCATAAAGCACGGGACAAGTCATTGCCGACGTGGTTTCGTTGCCATGGAACTGGGCACCGCAGTCGCCTGACCGCCTCAGAAGAGTCGCATACTGGCAACAAACAACGCCACCCAAGCCCCCCCCCACAAAATACCGACCCTTTTCGCCGTGTGCTCGTACGAACGCCTCATTTGCCCTTGGCGAGTGCATGCGAAATACTTGTACGATTACCCAGCACCCTCAAATCTTGTGCGACTCTGACGAGCTTCGTTTGTATGTGACCCTTCTACAGGCTGGCAGAGCGAATGCATCAGGCTTGGAAATGTGATTCCAAATGTACTGTACAGCCAATTTCCTTGCCTTGGCCATACAAACGAGGCTGGAATGGAAACGAATTCACGCAGCTTGTTGCTCCATCGCCCCTGCTCCTCAACATTATTCTGGTCTGCATTCTCTGAATCTGCAGATTCACTCACCTCCCGTTTCCCAGCAGTAGGTACACCTCCCATGTCCTTTCGTCGCTCTCTCGCGCCTCGCGGGGCTCTCGGTCGGCCTCGGCGCTTGACTCAATAAAAAGGACGTTTCCACCCTACTTTTCTCTATCCAGAAGCTCATCGTTCTCCCTCTCTACGAGATATTTCCTGCCATCCTAGCCTCAGTGCTTGATACTTTCCGTGTCGTTCAACCCTTTCTCTACGACATGGCTCTCTCGTGCAATCAGGCTGCTGTCTTGTCCTCCGCCATTCTCTCCAAGGGTCTGTTCACCGTGTCTTCCGCTTCACAATTGAAACCGAGATCGTTTATTGCACTTGGACTTCCCGGAATCAGGGCTGAAGCTGCACCCGCCGCCGTAAATCGTCCCGATTTAAATGCCCCCGCCACTCCCGTAACGCCCTCCGGCGCAGCCATGGCGGATTTCCTCGTCACTTTCAGCCGCACACTGAACCACGCTCCTGGAAACGGCAAGAGCATCGCCGGTGCAGGGAGGGCTCTTCTCTCCCGCGTGCGAAGCGGCATTAACTATCTCGGCATGGATGCGGATGTGGAGTCGCAGGTCAGGCGACAGCTGCGTGTCGCAGAGGCCGAGCGACTGCTTCTGGCGATCGAGAGCGACCTTGTGCAGATCGCCATCGACGAGTCCGTGGAGTCGAACAGCGTTCCCGTGCAGCTGCTTCGCATGCACTGCGCCCAGGCTGCTAGAATCCTCAGAGTCCTTTGAAGGCTTTCTTATCCCGCCGATGGCTGGACTGCCCTGTACTTGTGTAAATTTTTGTGGGACTTCGATCCCCGCCTGCAGCCGTTTGTTTTTGCTGATTCTGGGTCCTGTTGGATATCCATCAGCTCAGGGTTTATTTGATTGTCAACCTTTGTAGTGATTCAGTACATTACATTCCATTCCGCTCTTGCGTCATCCTTAAAGAGCGAACAGAATATACTCAAAACTTCAAAGTACAGGTCATATGCCTTGTAGACGACCCCCTTGTACGTCCAAGAGTATCCCACATGAAATTTATCCTTGTACGCGAACTGTACTCGTCTCAACTCAACAGTAAAATAGACAGGCAATTCGGCTGATCAAGGAGCGTCCAATCAGATTACTCTTGTGTTTTCAGAGCGACCACACCTAGTGGTTGGTGTGCCTAAAAAAATCCAGATGTGTCAGTTTCAACCAATGTCGAGGCAAAAATCCACATGATGCGCTAGATACGACCAGCTTGTAGACAGTCCAGTAGAATTGCGCCAGCCATTCCAACGGAATCCGTCGGCGTTGCCCCAGGAAAATCCTATCAGAATTAGAGAATTGAATGATGGTAGAGCGAGAGTACACACAGATATACCTAAGTGTTGTACCCTCTAACAGGCGACCCTATACAGTCTATACAAACATGACAAGTACACATGTTTGACACACCCCCTAGACTGTATAGGGGAATGTCCCAAACAAGCAGCTCAGGGCGGCACTACTAGTCCAACCTCCGAGACAAGGGTCTGAGAGACCAGTCAGAAGGAGTACAGACAAGGCGAGAACAAGACCAGGGCGGTACTACTAGTCCAGCCACTGGGAGAGGACACAAGTCCAGTCTGAGTATACATATAAAGGACAGTACAAAGTCAAGGTCCTAGCAAGTGAGAGGCTACAGGAACTAGACCAAGCTGTACACAGTGCCGCTGATGATCTTTATGTTAACGTAGAAACGAATGATTACTAGAGGTGGAAACCTAGAACAAATACTAGTTGGTTGTACTCACTAGAAGCATACCTCAGTCTAGCCTATAACTTCTAGATAGATAATATGTATAAGTTGACACACCCCCTAGGCTAGACAAGGGGTGAAACTAAACAAGAAGCAAACAGCTCAGGGCGGCACTACTAGTCCAACCACTGAGGCAGGGGTCTGGAGACCAGTCAGCAAGAATACAACCAAAACTGAAGCAAGCCAGGGTGGCACTACTAGTCCAGCCACTGGAGGTAAGGCCACAAGGCCAGTCTGACAAGCATATATAATAGAGAGTACACAATCAGGATCCTAACAGGGGAGCAGCTATAGGAACAAGACCAAGCTGTACACAGTGCCGCTGATGATCTTTAGGCGCAAGCGCCTTAGTAAAGATATCAGCTGTGTTGGCACCTGAGGCCAAGTGAACTACGCGGGCCTGGCGGCGCTGCTGTAGCTCGCGCAGGAGGAAGTACCGCAGCTGGATATGCTTCGCTCTGCCCTCAAGCCGAGGCTCCTGACACAGGAGTATCATGGCCCTGTTGTCAGCGTACAGGACCGGGGCAGAGCTAGGCCGCTCACCTAAGTCTGTGAGCAAGAAGGTCAGCCAGCGGAGCTCCTGTGCCGCCATGGCACCAGCGTAGATCTCAGCCTCACAGCTAGACTGAGCCACAGACGACGAGCGAGTGGATCTCCAAGAGATAGCACCCGAACCAAGGCTGAAACAGTAGCCCTGCGACGACCTGAGCGTCTCAGCGTCGTCTGCCCAAGAAGCGTCTGTGTGCCCAGTAAGGACCACTGGCCTGCGTCCTCCTAGCACTAACCCCATGCCTGATGTACTAGCAAGATAACGCAAAACCCTCTTAGCGGCAGACCAGTGCTGAGGTCGGTGTCTGCCTGTAGCCACAAAGCGAGCCAGGATGCTGAGAGGGTATGCGAGATCTGGGCGAGTGCAAGTCATCAGGTACATGAGGCAACCCACCAGCTCTGCGTAGGGGCCACTGGGCTCTACTGGCTCCTCAGGAACGGGAGCAGAGAGCCCATGGTCTACGGGTAGAGGTGTGGGCTGTGCGGAGGAGAACTGAAGACCGAACCTCTGAAGGACCTGATGCACCAAGTGTGACTGGGTCAGAGTGATGGTGCGTGCTGCTCTGTCCCTAGAGATCTGCAGGCCAAGATAGCGACGCAGCTCTCCAAGGTCAGTGCAGGTGTGTCTCTTCAGCAGCTCAGCCTTCACAGAGGCCAGTGCGTCCCTGTCAGGAGTAGCGAAGACCAGGTCGTCTACGTAGACAAGGATGTAGAACGGAGTCTGGCCGGAACGCACAAACAGTGAAGGGTCAGCAGAGGACGGAAAGAACTGCAGGTCTGCTAACGTGGCACGTAGCGTGTCGTGCCACTCGCGGGGAGCCTGACGCAGGCCGTAGACCGGGCGCCTGAGAAGCCACTGGGTCCCAGGAGGGAAGGTACCAGTGAAGCCCTGTGGTCGGCGCAGGTAGACCTGCTCGTGTAGGCTGCCCTGAAGAAAGGCAGTAGAGAAGTCGAGAGAGTGAAGCTCGTAGTCACGCTGTGCTGCTACGTGTAGCAGCGCCCGAAGAGTGGTCATCTTCGGGGTCGGGGCGAAGGTCTGGAAGAAGTCAACCCCCTCGCGCTGACTGAAACCTCTGGCCACGTAGCGCGCCTTGAAGACAGGCGGCTCTCCAGGGGGGCGCTTCACCTTGAAGAGCCACCGACCATCGACTACGTTCACCCCAGGCGGGGGAACTGCGTCGACGTAAGTGCCGGTGGATCTCCAAGATGCCATCTCCTGCTCCATGGCAGCTATCCACTGAGAGGCCCAAGGTCCCGAGGTGGCCTCAGCGTAGGTGCGAGGGGTCGGGATGTCGAAGGCGTCTGGGTCACCCTCAGGGACTAACAGCATGGAGCAGAGATGGGGAGCAGCCTCGGAAAGGAAAGCCAGCTCGTACTGCCTGTCCTCTAGGACGTCACTGCCAAGGGCAGGAGCACCCCCGACGGACAGAGGACGGGCAGGGTCAGAGACCAGAGCGGTAGCGTAGTCAAGGCGGCGGGTAGAAGCGAAGTCAGCGACAGCAGCGACAAGCGCGTCAAGGCGCGAGACAGGAACAGCAGGGTCGGTAACAAGAGAGGCAAGGACCCGAGGGACAAGGGGACGAGCAGCACGGAGGTAGTCAGAGAACGGAGGAGGTGCAACAGCAAGGGACGAGGGAGGAGGGGACGGGAGGAGGGGAGGACGAGACGAGTGGGAACGGAGCAACATAGGGTGGGTGGGCAGGACAGGAGAGACGGGACGAGCACGGGAGGGACGGCGAGCCCAAACGTGAGACGGAGGGGTAGGGTCAGGGGACAGCGGAGGAGACACAGGAGGGGAACGAGGAGGAAGACGGGCCGGAGACGAGTCTGGCGGCGGGAACACAGGACCGTAGACAGGGAGGTCAGGAGGCGGTGGGGGAGACACCGGCGCGCGGTCCGGGGAGGGAAGGCCGAGCAGGCGGAGAGCGGAAACCGGCGGCGACGGCTGCTGTGGCGGCGACGACGGCTGGGCCGGAACTCTCGGACCAGCAGAGGCAGAACGACCGTCGGCAGAACACTCAACAGCAGCACCCCCAGAACCAACACCCCAAGAGCGAGAACCCCCTCCAACACCAGCGGCACCCCCAGAAGCCGCAGGACGAACACCCTCCTCCACACCAGCACCCCCAGGGGCCGAGAGCAGCGGCGGCAGAGGCGGCGACAGCGGCGACGGCTGCGGCGGCGACGGCGACGGCGGCGGCAGCGGGGTCGGCGACTGCGACAGTGGGGGCGGAGGCACTGGGGAAGGGGGACGCGGCAAGGACGGACCGGGGGTACCACCAGAGTCAGCAGACTCCTCAACGGGGACAACCGACGGGAGGGGAGTGACGTGGGAGACACCAGACGGGGCAGGACGAGGCGGGAGAGGGGCAGGGGCTACCGGGGGAGAGGGAGCAAGGAAAAGGGGGGGGGCAACTGGGAGACCTCGGTGAGGGAAGCGGCGGTAGAAGGAGACGGACTCGTCAAAGGTGACGTCACGAGAGTGGAGGAAGCGGTGAGACGGCGGGTGGTAGAAAAGCCAGTCAGACGAGTCCAGGGGGAAACCGAGGAAGACACAGGGGACAGTGCGGGCAGTGAGCTTGTCCGTGCCAGAGGCACGAACGTGAGCAAGGCAGCCCCAGACGTGGAACGCAGACGCGTCACCGGGGGACCCGGTCCAAAGGAGGGTCGGCGAAACCTGCGGCCGCTGGGAGCGTGGCCACAGGTTAAGCTGGTGAGCCGCGTAGCGAACAGCGAACGGCCACAGAAAATGGGGGGCATCGGCATGGATCATGGAGGTACGGGCGACCTCCATGACCAAGCCGATGCGGCGCTCAGCAACCCCATTCTGCTGTGGCGAGTCCGGCAACGTGTACGACTGGGTGATGCCCTCCGCACGACAGAACTGTCCAAGCCGACCAGAGGCGAACTCGCCGCCACGGTCGGAGTGGAGACACAACACGGGGAGACCGCGGTGGAGACGCGCAGCTACAACCCACGGGAGAAGAACGTCGGGCACGTCGGCCTTCCGCTCCAGGGGAAACACCGTGGTGTAGCGCGTGTAGTCGTCAACGAGCACAAGGAAGTAGCGCTCACCGCGCGGTCCGGGGACGGGGGCAGGGCCCCAAACGTCCAAGTGCAGGGTCTGAAGGGGGGCAGTAGCAGGACGCAGCGAGGAGGAGTGAGGAGCACGGCGGAGCCGACCCTCGACGCAAGGCGTGCACGGTGGCGCAGTCGAGGGAGGAAGGGCAGGGAGCGACGCGGGGAGACCTAAGACAAGACCGTGCTGGGACATGTGACGCAGACGCGGGAGAGCAGGGTGACCTAAGCGGTGGTGCCAGAGAAGGGAGGGGTGAGTGAGGGACCGACACGAGCAAGCTGCAGCGACCTGGGAGGACGCACCAACCGGGGGGGAAGCGGTGTGTAGGGTAAACAGACCGGACACCGGGTCCCGGGGGAACGTCGCAAGGGGGGAACCTGAGACAGCCTCAGAACAGACAGCGAACCGCTCGTGCCCGGGGAACGTGGTGGTGACGCCGAAGTCCTGGAGACAGCCGACACCAACCAGGTTCCTGGAGAACGAGGGAACGTGGAGGCCAGTAAGGGAGCCCGAGGGAA